TGGTGTTACAAAAAATATGGGACAATTGTCCTGTTTATATGTTTCAAATAGACTATTATCTTGATTAAAGTGATTGCATTCTCTTGTAAACTTGTTTTTCCACTCATTATTATTATTATCACGTGATGAAAGATCGGCTGTACAAAATTTTGAAAATTTCAATTTTTCCAATTCATTCAATTTTAATATAAAAAATTTGCGTGTAACACGTCATTTTTGGGGGTTAACATAGTAAACTCGTGAAACTTTGAGAACTTTAATGTGTCACTCCTCCATGGTAACATGGCATATCAACAAAATGAAATCATAGAATTGTAGAGAAAGGTCTTAGCTTTAATTCTATGATTTGTTTTTTTGGTCATACATTTCCATTTTTGGAGAGGATATAGGATCTACACAGCCAATAAAAAGTTCAGCGACTAAGTGACTTGCACTATAGTAAAATTTCATTACTATTATTATCACGTGATAAATATCGGCCATTAAAAAACTCAAATTTCAATCATTCATTTAATATTTTTTGTGTAACACGCCATCTGGGGTTAACATAGTAAATTCGTGAACTTTGATGCATCGTTCCTCTATGGTAACGTTATATATCAATAAAATGAAATCATTGGATTGTAGGTAAAAGTCTTAGCTTTAATCCTATGATTTGTTATTTTGGTCATACATTTCCATTTTTGGAGGAGATCAAGAATCTACTACAGCCAATAAAAAGTTCAGCGACTAAGTGACTTGCACTATATAAAAAATATTATCAAAAATCATTATCAAATTTTATAATTAATCCTAGTTAATCCAAACCTTTTTTTTTAACCTATTTCTCAGTACGTTTTCGGTTTAGGTTTCGATTGAGATTTTGATTTTCGGTTTTTGGACTGAAACCGAAAATTTTACCGGAAATGTTTCGGTAGCTTGACATAGTTTCGGTGAACACTATAGTCCAAGTGTTGAAACAATTTTCGCAAAATCCACTTAGTGCCTTGTTTTTGGAATTTTCTTTATTTCGTTCAACTGATTGTAAAAAATCAACCTTTTCTATTTTCTCTATCGTACATAGAAATCTTCGGTGAAATATAAATACACTTAATGGTACCAAATAATTGCAAATAAATAAATGGCACTCTTACAAAGCTCAAAGGCTTCTATAAAGTTCCTTTTATTTCAGTTGTTTTTTTATCTGGCCAATTTTGGTTTATTTACAAAACAATTTTAAGCAGGTTATTTGACGGTCTTACGTTGCAATTACAATAGCGCCGCTAGTATTTCCAATTAACCTTTGGGTAATACCCATAAGTTAAACCAACCTTTGTACTAAATGCTTGCTTACTCACTAAATTATATTATTAATAGTTACTAACACACATTAGTTAGTTCAATAACTAAATTAGAGATGGGCAAATGGCATATAGTTGAACACTATACGACACTATACGATACTTTACGTATAGTGCGTATAGTACGTATAGTACGTATAGTAGTGT